TACATACATACATACATACATACATACATACATACATACATACATACTGTACAGACACTAAATGTTCTTTATATGAATGTAATGTAAAACTTTGTCTTTTTATTTCAGAAAACCCAGTCTCCCTGCAAATTTATACAAAATGTGGTACTGAAATATTGTGTTTACAACAAAACGGAATAAGTGTGGTTGTGTATAATCTTCAACGTCTGCAGTGTCCAAACTCACTTCATCCAGTTTAGAAGTGCCAGGGGCCTGGAGCCAATAAGAACAGTTTAAATTAAGAACTTTATTTTTTAATTTAATTCATAAAAAGCAGCCAAGACCACCAGATTGTCTAAAAAGTCTCTACTTTATTCAAGAAGGTAAATGTTTTTGTAAAACATTCAATAAAAAATGGTCTAATTTATTGCTCAGTGTCATTTTTACATTAGGATATTTTTTTCTGATGCATATTTTTTCAATAGCACTCTCACAAGGTATACGTTGCTAAATATTTAGACAAGGTATTTTGCAGTCAATAAATAAAAACAGACATACAGACCTATGTTTAGATTATTTAGAAATAAACCAAGAAATTACAGTAGCTAGACAGAACGAAAATAAAAAGGGACAAACAGCCTGAAGCAATGACCAGTTAAATAACTTTTGATTGGTTTCCAATGATTGTCTAAAAACTCAAGAAAAGTTTAAAGTTCCACGATTGACGGGATTTAAGGAGGCAGAAGACACAAACATGAAACTTTAAAATTTAAACCTGTGCTCCACAGAAGCCTTGTTAGAATTCTTAGTTTACACATTTATAGTCAAACTCGTCTATGGGATACAGTTTAGATTTGTAAATGAGTGGTGGGACTTCATGATCCTTTTTAAACATAACTGGAAAGCAAAATGTCTATACATTCTTCCATTTCAAACCACAAGTTTGCATTTAGCACCTTAAAGAAAGCAAAATGTTGGGATTAGAGATTTATCAAAGAGAAAAAACAGAAACAACAGGATGTATGTTAGAGAGCACAGAGTAGTGACTCGAGACTCTGTCGACCCGAGTCTTTGGGACAGTCCCACGTCCTCGTCACGCCTTCCCCTCACACACATCCTCCCTCACTAACTAGTGTGTGTTTTGTTGTCCTGCTCGGTCTTCTGTGCGTGCGTGAAATGCATCTGACTGCGTTTCACAACCCACACGGGAGCCGCCGGTCCAAATTTAAATCTAAATTATGCAAACATAAACAGAGAAACGCAGTCACGTGCGCTCGCAGGCCAGTTCTGAGGTCAGTGGTGATGTTGGGGCCTCATGCCACATATTTACATTCTCGTTTTTAAGGAAACTGTGTACAAGGCAGTAGTAGATGAAGTGTAATGCTTGTTTCTTTAGTTTTGCTTAGTTTAAACATGAGCAAGAAGTGCAACCATAGGAGGAAAAAAAAGTAAAGCGAAGGAAAATGCTCATTAATAAATAAATAAATAAGTTTATAAATTAAAGGGGTTTGTACATGTGAGGGGAGAGATGTGGGTTGGTTTCCATGTTAGTTGCGTGTGTTTGTGTTTGGTCTTTAGGGGCTGGAGCCTAACAAGACAGGGAGCAGGAAGCTAAAACCACCCCAGAGACTGAAGAGGTTCCTTCTGCTGTGACATCGCAAACACAAGATTTATGGCATGGAGGCAAAATCTCAAACGATAATTCGGCTTGACGAGCAATTTGCTTGTAACACACACATCAGTAAGGTTAGCTGTGGACGCTTGAGCGCAGGCATGATGGATTTTACATTTAAAGACTTTAGTCTGGTCTAAAATTTAGTCAGAGAGATATTTTGTATGAGCTGATAGTTATAATAAAATGACTGTTGTTGTTTAATTGGCCACAGTTTGAGAAAATGGAGTTTGAGCCCAACAGGACTGACAAGCTAACAGCTAAGCTAAATGCAACAAACACTAAAGTTGATTTAAAACAGCTCCTGCCTCAAAAATGTCACATTGTGCTAATGCTATTTCATAGACTTCTGTATGGCCGTCAAGTTTGCCAAACATTTTCATTTATATAGATTTTTTTTAAGGTATCTTCAAGCACAAATAGCTAAAGGTAGCCGCTAGCTTTTACAGCTAGCTGCTACAGGCATCAGCCAGCTGTGGCAGGGATTTTATAACGTTTCTGCTAAAAATAACTGTAATATGAAGCAGTGGTTGTAAAAATCAGAAATCAGTAGGAAACTGTGAAGTTATTTTAAGACAGCATTGAACGTGAGCCTGTTTTCATAATATTGACAAGTTAATAGTGCGATCAAGCCTGGACCAAAACCAGATGGATGCCATCTTAAAACAACTTCAGTCGTTAAAAATGTGTATTGGTTCATGCAAAGACTATTTTATAAACCTTTACACTTCTGTCAGTTTTGTAGTACTCGATTCTTCCAGCATACACTGCTAATATTGACTGTTACTGTGTACTACACTTCTCGTGGTCCACGAGATCTATGGGCAGAAACTTGTGACATCAGAAACTGAGTTTGAACTGCTCCGACTGAATCTGTATTAGCGTAATTACAAATTAAATCAATCGGTTTGAAAACGAAGTTCACTAAATTGAAACTGAATTTAATGGTTTGAAACTGTCTTTTGTTGTATTGAAATTCATTTTCGGGGCAGCACGGTGGTGCAACAGGTAGAGCTGCTGCCTCTCAGTGAGCAGGTCCCTGGTTCAAACCCTGGTCCAGGGGCCTTCTGGGTGGAGTTTGCATGTTCTCTCCGTGCATGCGTGGGTTTTCTCCAGGTACTCTGGTTTCCTCCCACAGACCAAAAACATGCATGTTAGACTGATTGGTAACTCTAAATTGTCCCTAGATGTGAGTGAGAGAGTGAATGATTGTTTGTCTCGTTTGTCTCTATGTGTCCCTGTGATGGACTTGCGACCTGTCCAGGGTGTACCCCGCCCCTCGCACAGTGATTGCTGGACATGGGCACCAGCGACCCCCGTGACCCAAAATGGAATAAACGGGTAAAGATAATGGATGGATGGATATTCATTTTCAGTTCTATAATTCAGTTTAATTCCAAAATTCAGTTTTATGTCACACATCCGGGTCCTTGATAAAATCACAGAGTAATCGAACACAGATTGACAGATTTCGTTTCACGTCAGTGAAACTTCCTTTACATAAATGTAGGCGTGGGGTTCAGTCTCAAGGAGGCGGTAACGCAACAGAGTGAATGCAATCCACTGTAAAACACCAAAGAAGAACTTCCTTTATGGCATATTTTGAGCTGGAGCAGTGGTGCACACATGAATTGGCATGAACTCATGTGTGCACCACTGCTCCAGCTCAAAATACGCCATAAAGGAAGTTCTTCTTCTTTGGTGTTTTATGGTGGATTGCATCCACACTGTTGCATCACCGCCTCCTTGAGACTGAACCCCACGCCTACATTTCCGTTAAGGAAGTTTCACTGACGTGAAACGAAATCTGTCAATCTGTGTTCGATTACTCCGTGGTTTTCTTAATGACCCGGATGTGTGACACAAAAAACTGAATTATGGAACTGAAAATGAATTTCAATACAACAATATACAGTTTCAAAGCAAATTAATTTGGTTTCAAACTATTAAATTCAGTTTCAATTGAGTGAAATACATTTTCAAACCTAATAGATTTAATTTCAAATTACGTGAATACAGATTCAGTCTGAGCGATTCAAATTTAGTTTCTGATGGCACCAGTTTCCGCTCATAGATCTCCTTCCTCCTTTAATGCCAACAAAAACTCTCAGTTGCATCAGTTCCAGTCTCCCAAGTAAAGTAGGGCTAAATTACTTATTCATTTATTTCGGGAAATGTGTGGACTGGATAATGGAAACCTTATGGGAGATAAAGCTTGTCTGACTTTAGCAATATGGATTATGTGTATTATATTATACCCTAAAGCAAAGTGTCTGTTTTAAAATGGTCATGAAATATTTAAACAATATCTAAGAAATCAGCTTTAACCCCTTTACATTTACTAAAACATTCATATAGGTTGTTACTGGTAGTTTATTTTAGTTTTAATAAGATGCTAAAATGGTATAGTTCCTTGCCATGCATACTTGTGCAATATCAACATCTAAGTTGTCAAGTCAAAGGAAAAAAGACAATTTGTGGTTTTGATAATGACAGTGATGATGATGATGGTCTTATCAGCTCAGTCTGAGAAGGAGACTCTACAACATAAATAGACTTGTTGAAATAGGAGGAAAATTTGATACAAAAATGCTTTTGACTGTGAGCTGCATATACAGTACAAGTCATTATATAGTCAAATGGTACAATACATGAACACCGTTCTCATATCATAGTAAGAGTAAGTTGTAGTGGCAGAATTAAACTTGCAGTAAATTAATCTAGAAAAAAATCCCAAGATTTGCAGTGAGTTTATATCAGTCGGTGTGTGTTTCTGTGCTCTTGTTGCTGTGCGTCTAGGAGAGGTTGGGGGTATCTGCTGTAGTACATTCATGGTGAGAGGATCGTAGGTGCTGTCCTGCCAGTGCCCTCACAGGCTGGGTAGGGTCAGCTTCAGGGGTCATCTGTAGGGGGTCTGTTGACATTGAAGGTCACGGGAGGACAGACTTTTTATCCTAGAGCAGGATGCATTTTCCTTTCTCCACCCATGGATTGTTCTTCATCAGTTCCGGGTTCAGGAAAGGGTCCTCGGGAACTCCATCCTCTATCCATTTTACCAAACTTTGAGAAAAGAGACACAAATAAAGACTTTTTTCAATTTCCCCAAAAGGATAAACATCATAATTCATTTTCAGTCCTCAAGAAAGTGAGACGTTGGTCAATGTTCATTTCATTCTTTTACAAAACTTCTTGGCTCCAGTCGTCGTGCATTTTTCTGTCGAAAAGCTTTTCCAATCACAACTTTTGTAATGTCTAGTTCAGTGTCATGATGTATTCCATTTTGTATTATTGTTATTCTTCTTTAGGCCCTCTTCACACAGGATGAAGACACCACTGTAATGTAAAAATCTGTCAGAATGTATACGAGCTTTGCAGGGTCTTGTTTGGATCTTAAAGGAAGTATTAAGAACGCAGTGAGCTTCACATTAGATATGATACAGCTGGATAGGTTGTGCTAGCATGCTCAGAGCTTCCATAGACAGGTAATGGTAGTTTAATGGTAGTTTAATTTCATGTTGACAATGTAACCATGTCTAGAGCCCAGCGCAGCATCCACGTGACTTGGTCATTGAGAATCTGGAGCAGGACTGGCCACGCCGAGCTTATGTTTAGGCTACAGCTCTGTCCACACCTTGCTGCCAGCACCCCAAATATTATTGCTGTGTCTAGTGCTACGTGCATAACAACTCTTATGGCTCGTCAGTGGCGATTTTAGCCTCTTTTTGGGGGTGCTCAAGCACCCCTAAATTTTAACTCGGCACCCGTGAAAAATAAAAAAACCATCATTAGGATTTTGTAAGGAAGCTCAGTTCTCAAACCGTAGATTCACCAAAACATTGAATACATATGGAATAAATGATGAGTCTTAAACAGGTCAGTAAAATCTAAGATTTTTTTTTTGCACGAGTCAGATCCTCAATGCCACCTGTCAATCAGTCCAGCAGGCTCATCAGCAACTGACCAATCAGTGATCTCAATTTATCTTGAAGTGAACGCCCTTACCTGCAGGAGTAACACCCTCTTTTCCTCCAACTACATTTTCAGGGTTTTGCATTATGAACACTTTGCTGTCAGAGGAATTTCATAAAAAATCATCAGAGATAATGGTGAAACATTGTCAGTGGAGAACATGTAATTCAGACACGTGTTATCCTGAGTGTTTAGAGAATGTAATACAGTTTATTTCATTTCCAAAACCTAAACAGAGTCTGGAAAAATGTAAAAGATGATAAAGCCCTGCGGCCGACCTCATGATCAGCTGAATACTACAGTGATAAACAGGAAGTACCACATGTTCATCTGTATGAAGGTAACTGCAGGTAAATCCTCCATTTTCTGTCATAATTACATTTTATGCGTAATGAACGGTTAATGCTTAAAGCTAGTTGTGCTTTGTTTTGTGTGTTTTCTATGTTGCGACTTCTGATTGCATACGTTTAGTCTTTGTTTGTTATGATTAGTTAACAATAAACTGATTTTGTACAAAGCGTTTATTAAGTTGTGTAATGTAAAGCTGAGCACGACATCTGTAGCATTTTAGCTAGTGCGTATGTATTGCACGCCGCTAGCTTAGTGCTACTTCTTGTTGCGCCGTCCTCTCTAAAGTAGTTATTGAATAAAGTGTTTTCTTACATGAATGTAGATGTTTAAAATGGCATCTACTTTATTTCGAAATTTTGTGCGTGTGCGTCCCCCACTTTAAAAATGCTTCTGACACTAATGGCCACTGCATTGTTCAAGCCAAGAGCAACTGTTAACACTGGGGGCTAAGCGCCCCTAAAGGGCAGATTCTAGAATCGCCCCTGACTCTTGCTATAACTAACAGGCTCGTGTTACCCTCTCATCAAGCAACAACTAGTCCGCACTCCCTCCATATCAATAAATACCCTGCCACACTCGGCAGTCATTCATTGGTGATTTGGAGCAAGAAGCATTTGTTTTCATCATGGTCAGGCCCGATGAAGCAGGAACGGATGGATGCGATCAAAATTCTGCACTCCTTTACATGCACCCGCTCATGATGCTGAACAGTTTTTCCTCGTCTATAGCAAGACTGAAACTGATGAAGGAGGCTCTTCCATCTTTAATATAGTCATGTAAATTTGTCAGATCGTGACAAGGTTGAGGAAGCAACCTCGTGTAGACGTGGTACTTGTGATGGTAGTGTCGTGCTAGTGAGGTGTGATTTATTAACACATAGCTGCAGCTTGACACGGTCTAATAGAGTCATGCCAAGTTGGAGACCAGGTGTGGTGAGATTGTAGACATGTTAGTGTCGTGGGAACAACTCAAAGGGCATGGTTAGGAGACAGCAAAGTGTTTCTGGGACACGTAAAGTAACAGAAAAAAACGTCTAAGACAAACATTAAGAGCATAAAGGTATCATGATTGGAGGGTTTTCAGTTTTCCTGCAGTCCAGCCATGTTTTAACAGGTTGCTCAGAGCAGAGCAGCGTCATCATCCATGAAACGAGGGCCTTAAGAAAATCAAGTTGTATGCCAAAGTCTGTTGCATGAGTAATAAACATATTACAGTACATGACCAATAGGTTCAGATCGATATTACCTCTGGTTACATGAAAGGAATTAGTGTCATCTAATAAAGTATCTGCTTAATGAGTATCCAAATTTGCAGTTAATTTTGAATCATGGACCAAAAGACAGGGCCCGTTTTTATTTATTTGGTTCACCAGTAAGGTCCCACTGAGCATCTCTACAAGATTTTTCACCTTAACCCTGTGGAGAAAGGAATCCTACCGCCGTTCTTCTGATAAGTGTACACCCTGATATAACATCTGAGCCGCAGCCACCTTTTGTGTTGGTTTAATGTTGATAACTGCACAATGCAGCACTGGTTTCCTCTACTTACTCTGTGACTGTTTTGGAGGATTTCTCTCGTTTGAAGGCCAGCTGGTATTTGAGGCTCTCCACCTCCTTTTTCATCTGGGGCAGGTCCATCTCATCCATGACTTCAGCTTGATGTCAGGCTGTCCTACCTGTGAACAGAAGGAGGCAGCCAGCGTTATATTTACACAGTACACTGTTAAACAGAACGCAGACACACTGAATACATCAGTGCCCTGCAGCAAGATCACAACCACTGATTCATACCTGCTGCTGAATGTTACACCCCTGAACTCCACAAGGTATATTTAATTCTGCCTGACGCCTTTTGTGTCCTCTACACCACAACTTTAATGAATATACTAATAAGCACTTTGATTACTTCATACTTTCTATCAGTAAGTTAAAGCAGAGCTGATTTTCAGAACCTGTAGAAGACAAATTCCAAAAGTTTCATTTTTTTGTCGTTGTTTTTTAAGTTTTTACAAAAAGGAAGAAAAAGAACAGTATGTGCTCATGTTCTGCCCCAATTCTCAGTAAATCTGAGACCTACACCTACACATCCACTGACACATAAGAGCTAACTGAGGCAAATACATATACACACACACACAAACACACATATCACTAGTATCACTAGTAAGTCTTACTTGACAAAAGTTAAAATAAAACAAGTAGGACACTATCTCCCATCGCTGAGGGATTTTAATAGTGAATGTTTATTGTTTTGGAGATGAGTGTTTTTCTGGACTGGAATTGAACAGAAAATACAAGTAAACCTTAATGTTTTTGGTGCAAGATATTCAAGTGAGCAAAAGTTGCACTGTTGAAAAGAATAGAGGTAATTCTATTTGTAATTTTTTTACTTGTCGGAAGCAGCTCAGAGTGACTAATTCTGACAGGCAGGGGGAGAAATTTTATCCACCACCAGGCACAATGGCGGAGCCATGGGGTGGCCAATGGTGGCCTTGACCACTGTAGATTAATTTTTGGCCACCCCAATCATTTGAGGGAACTACTTTTAAGCAATATATATAACAATATATATAAAAATAGAAAGCATAATTTCTTCAAATGAAATGGGTGGTTAGTTTATTGCACGTTGCTTATTCTAAATTATCCAGATTACAAGATGGACAGATATATGTATATAATGGAAGCCATCTTGGATTTTTTTCATGGCAACTCAATTTTCAATAGTGAACTTTTTATACCTAGATGTAGCCACACACTACAATGGAAGTCAGTACAGCACTTATATTTTAGTTATCACACTCACAGCATTCATGGATGGACAGACAGGAAGTACTGTATTTCCATTTCCCCCTCTTCGCTCCCTGACGGGTGTCAGCAAACGGTATAAGTCAAAATTATCATGTATGATCCAAACCATTTTCTACAACAATATAAAGCTAATGCACAATTCATGTAGAAAAAGTCAATGCATTCCAAATGCATTTATCGTTGTAATAAAGGATGTTAAAGCCTTGAAAACTTGGTGGGCCAGTAACCATCCCTCTAGACTCTAGGGTTGGTTCTAGATCTAGAGGGTTGCTCTAGAGTCTAGAGCAATCTGACCTTCATCTGCTTCCGGTGGCTCTGTTTGTTTTTCCTTCCTCCAGCTTCCTCTCACTTCCTTCTTCTATCAAGGATTCAAGGTTCTTTATTGTCATTCACATCACATGTGGTACATGTAGTGGAACGAAATTGAGTACACAGGGTCCCAGTTACATCCAACAATAGCAGAAATATAAAGTATAAAAAGAAACAGTAAATAAGGATTTAAGGTATAAACTAAGATATACGCTTAATGAATGCCAAACAGTACACTAAAAGATCTAAGATATACGCCAGTCACTAACAGTGCAAAACAATACACGGAACAACAGAAGCAAGATTCTCATAGGTTCTGTTTGGCTATAATTTAAACACAATGCGAGCATTAACATAATCTAAACTAACATAAACTGGGATTTATTCAAAGCATGCAACAAAAATACAGAAACAAGGTGCCAAAAGTGAAAAAGAAATACAGTATATCTACAGCAGCATGGTCCAGAGGAAGAGTTGTTCTGATGACAGTGAGGTTAACTTAGCAACATGGTCCAGTTAGCAGCATGATACTGTTAGCAGTGAGGTTCAGTTAGCAATTAGGTTTCTCTTAGCAGCATGGTCCCATTGGCACCATGGTACTGTTAGCAGCATAGTTCAATTAGCGGCATGGTTCGGTTAGCGGCGTGGTTTTGTTAGCAGTGTTAACGAGTCCTGTCAGCAGCTTGATGATAATAAGGACCGCTGCAGCTTCCACCCAGACTGCCCTCCAGAACTGGTTCTGGCAGACAGAGAACATCCAAGGTTTCCTCGTGGAACTGAACGGGTCCGTCCGTAGAGTTTGGTCTGTGCAGGCAGAGGATGATCATGGAGACAGCTGCCATGACAGGCCTGAGCCCAAGGCTGGAAGGACTGAACCACGATGGCACAATGGCAAGGCAGTGACACAGAAAACTCCACAAGTGTGTCGTAGTCATATCCATACCATGGAAGTTCAGGCTTTTTTTCTTCTTCTTCTTTTGGCTTCTTCCTTCTTCAGGGGTCACCACAACGAACTGAGTCGCATGAAGACTTGGCCTTTTTTATTTTTTTACACCGGATGTCTTTCCTGAAACAACCGCAGACCACCGAGCTACCACAGCCCTCTGTGTGGAGCAGAGAGCTGCTGTCTAGGGTGCCCGGGGGAGCAGATGGTGGGGGTTAAAAGCCTTACTCAAGGGCCCAGAGTGGGGCAAATGAGAGTGTAAGCAGGTGTGGGTGCTTCACCAATCCCACCCACATTTTGATGTTGTCAGTATGGGGAGTTGAACCAGTGATCTTCCAATCACAGGCTCACCTTCTCTAACCTCTGCATCACCACTCCCCAGTGTAGGCACAAAAAAAAGGTAAAACAACAGGAACAAAAAAAAAAGATTGTGTTTACTGGGAGCCTGTGAAGCTGTGGCTCGGCTGAGCGAGGCCATCTTGTCTTTCTATTAAAGTCTTCCAATAAGATCCATATTATGCAACTTTCTTTCTGATGAGTTAGGGGTGATTGGAGGCTGGAAATACCAGCTCTGAATTCAGATGAAGCTTTTCTTAATGTTCGGTATAATCAAAGTCTTTCAAGCGTATCATAGGTTGGCGCACACCAAAGGTGCGTTCAGTGCATGATCACAAACACTTACTCGAGTAATACTTTTAGAAAATTTGCAACTTCTTATGTAACATCCAGAATTCAAATCTTCTCCTGAACTGGATTTGTGCTGCAAGATGAGCTGAAATAGAAATTAGCAAAAGAAAGTGCCAGAATTTAAAAATAAATGCCTTTGTCCTGCTGCATTTGACGCCTCTTCCACAGACATGTGCACAAACTAAAACCACGATGTAGCTAAAGTAGGACTCAAACACCTTCATCTGAGTGGGAGGAAGAGACTGACCTCGTGCAGAAACCCCATCCCTCGTCTTCCTACTTGTTCTTTCAGTCTGGACTGAAAGCTCAAAATAAGGAATGGTTTAGATGTTTATGTAACATTTTTCAAAGTTTTTATTAAGTTAGTTTTTAGTTTTATATTTAAGTAGGTTTTTTGTCCTGCACATTCCCACTTGCTCTTGCCGAGATCGGATGCTTCTCCCCTCCCTCTCTGCTTTGCTTTGTTGCTCTGTCTGTCTGTGAAACTGCTTCTGAGCCTCTCTTGCATTTTTTCTGAACTATAATTATGAACTTGTTTTGTTCAGTTGGTCCCTCAACTCAATTTACAACATTTCCTCGAAGAGAAGACAGGCTTTAGGCGAGCCGATATGCCCTGTTGGCACGCACGCAGCTGGATATCTCATCGACTTGGAAGACTTGATGATGTGTCTATCTCTGTTGCCATTTGTGGATTTTAAGGACGTATATTTAGTTGGATTTTCGATAACTGGTTCCTGCTTTTTGGATTCAGCTGGTTTTATCAATCAATCAAGGAAGTCGTCGGCAGTAAATTTGGACCCGATCACGCTGCTTGCCTTTATGATGGGTTGGTTTGTGTCTCGAGTACCCGGACTCAAACGCTTTGGGCAGAATGGATCAGATCTTGGGGATTTTACTCAGGCACGTTCCTTCGGTGTGGCCATGTATTTTGGATATTTCCGAACCGAGTGGACCAACACAGACTCAAGGTAGATGCCATTAAGTTCTGCCTGTCCCCAAAACAACTGTGTGTTTATCTGAATTTGGCTCCCTTGGCTGGCCTTGAAGGTCATCTTATCTGAATTCGCCTGGAGAACGTGATCTGATGCTCACCACCCCCCTCCCTGAGGAATTTCCAACTGATAATCAGATGAAACCAGCTGAATAAACTTGTGTCATCATTTCAGGACTCTTGGATTCTCATAGACGTTATTCTTGGTCACTACTTGACATCCCTCGTTTAGTTAGTTTTCTGTTTTCATGTGCAGTTTTGCCTATCACCCATCCTTCAGCTCAAGCCTGCTCCCTCCAAGTTTTGCCACACCTCCCTTGTTTCTCCACAACAATCAGCACTCATCAGCTTCACCTGTTCACCTGTCGTTATAAGCTCCATGTTCACAATCCACCAGTGCCAGATTAGCAAACTTTTCCAAGCAGCAGATGTCCAGCATTCATGCCACAGACTTCAAAGTTCAAGCTCAATCATCCAGGTATCAAATCCAAGATGACCTGACTGAGAATTATTGGATGCCACAGACTTGTTTGACTTCCTGGTTCTGACCTCTTGCCTGCCTCTTGGTTTCCTCACCTTGCTTATCCCCCGCCTGATTTGGATGTCGCTCTCTGACCGCGGTAACAACTCTGCTCTTTCTCACCTCAACTACACCTCTTGCCTAACCCTCTGTATCTGGATAAGGATTTCTGACCACAAGTGTATGACCTCAGACTTCTACTGGACCTCGTTTCTGTACATGCCCTCATGCTTGTCTCATATTTCACAGCTGTCCTGCAGCTCAATTTTTGAGTTTACTCTCTGCCTGACTGTGAAGATCCGAGTGGCATGGACCCAGACCTCCACCAGAGATCCTGCTTTAATAAACACTTTAAACCATTCCTGCATTTTGATGCATTTACTGAACCTGGTCCATGTCATAAAGGGTGTTGCATAAC